GATGTGTCTATCTAGAAGGTAACTATTAGAAATTGTTAGGTATCATTCTGTTTAACAACAAATAAATTTTCTCGATTTTCGTATAACGATAAGTTATATGAAAAAGAATTGGGAGTACCTCATCAAGACTTAAATAATATTTATTTGTATTACAAGGAAGGAAAGTGTATTTTTTCTTCCCACAGGTAGAAGTTACTGCCCGAGACTTGTCAAATGAATCAAATACGACTTGTCGAGGGCAGTAACCACATATAATTTTTCCTACGATCCAGCAAGAAACACTTCGATACTAAGAATTTCTCTTAATATCCCATTTTTGCCATTAAATCTAGCAGCATGTTTTTCAGTTTATATGAGGAAGGTAAAATTTCTACCTCCTTGAGTGGTTTTATATATTTTTATTGTAATTTTGACAGATGAGGGAGGAAATTGGCCACTTTCTTTTCTGAAATTGGGGTGGAAAAACTTACTTTCTATTAGGGTCATAGGAAAATTAATTATTAATATAGTTTTGTAAATTCCTGGTATATTAAACGTGAGTGGTTAACTGGAAGCAAAACACAAAAAAAAGAAAAATTTTTTTGGCCATTTTCAAGTCGTGGTGAGGAAGCATGGTCTAAAACTGTGGTATGACAACTTAAAAAAAAATACCAAAGGCAAAGAAAGACACGCTTAAAGTCAAGAACATAGTATGAGTAGCAAATTACATGTTGAGGATAAATAAAATATAGCCACAAATGTAGATTCGGCCCCGCAAATAGAAATTAATAAAGTTAATGAATCGTTCAAAAAAATTGAAACATTTTAAAAAAGTTAGTCTATTTTTGTACTTTTCTTTGCTGCTAAAAGTTAGCTTTTCGTGGTCAGCAAAGCAAGGAATCATTTTTTAGTCGTCTATGGCTTGTGTAGATTACACATATATTTTTATTTTTTATATATAAAAAAAGCTCTGCCTTCTCTTAATAAAAGACTACGCCGACACTTTTTTTTAGTTTTGTAAAACTGTTAAATTTCTAAAATTATTATTACACTTAAGTAAAAAGGCAATTGATAAGTTGAAATTGATTGTTCTCTGATGAATTAATTATAAACT